CAAATGCAGAGTGGAGACCCCTTGATGAGGTGGGTCCCAGAATGCGCAGAGTAAATGGTGAGAGATCCACGTACAAGCGCACAAGCGGGAGGGTAGGGCTCGAGGAGGAATGGTATCAGTGCCAGGCCCGGAGAGAGAGCAGAGGCTGTCCCAGGCGTCCTGGCTCAGACCCACCAAGGCGACGGGGAGGACTCATTCATTGAGCGCCAGCCCAAGAGCGGACTGCCCAGCTGACTGGCCCGCCCGGTCCTCTCAAGGCTGGGGGAGGGGATTCCCCAGGTTCCCTCCCCTAGGGCTGCGCGGTTGGGAACTTGTCCTGACTATTTAACTTTGGGGAGGGACCAAGGAGCGCCTGGAAGGGCGGGAGTTCGGGCCAGCAGAGGCAGCCCCTCGGTCCTGGACCCCGGGGAGCAGCCTGTCCTGCCGGACGCCCCTGCCTCAGCTAACAGAGGTAAGCAGCGGCGCTGGGAGCGAGTGGAGCGAGTCCAGGCCTGCGAGGTTTGGGGAACTAAGGCAGGAAGCACACGGGGCGGGTTTGGAGGCCTGGAGGGGCAGTTCCTGAGGTGCTCCCTTGTCAACCTCCCTTCCGGAGTAGCCTTCTGGAGTGGCCACTTTGGGGTCTCCCAACTTCCATAAGTTGGCAACAGTCTCTGGCATCTCGGTCAGGAACATGGTCGTGGGGGGCTCAGCTAATCCTGCTCCCTTCCCTGCCCTGGTTAATCACTACCTTTCTCTCCCTTCATCGCTTTCTCTCCTGCTATTCCCCCTCACTTTTGCCCCCAGTAATTTTCTCCCTCCAAAGGAGCCAGTTCCTACCCTTCCGTGTTGCCTGAACTCTGGCCCTGCCCTACCCACTGGAGAGCATGTCAGGGAGGCAGTTCCTGCCTTCTTCCAGCCCGCCGCCACTGCCAGGGTTGTTTCCTCTTTCCTGGTATGAGTTGCTGAGGGATTTCACTCACTCATTCATTTGATATTATTCATTTATGCATTTATCATTGTTTGAGCTTGCACCTGAATTCTGGGGGGTGGGGGGGTAGTGGGGAGGGTGATATAATTTCTGCTCTTCCTGTGAATAAGAAAATACATGTATTTCACAAGCATTTAGTCACTTACAAGCTGGTGGGCAGCATAGCATAATGGAAATTTACTTTGAAGTTATGGAGACTCCTGGGTTTGTATCCCACCTCATCTGTTTACTTCTTGAGCCTCAGTTTCCTCATCTGTAAAGGGGGATTGTTAAAATGAAATGAGATGAGGCACCTTCAAGCACCAAGTTCAGTGGGGACTCGGTACACATTGTGCTTTTCCCTTTGGCTACCCCATACCACCTCCCCCTCTCTGCAGGCTTGTAAAGATACAGAAGACAGCTCCCGGCCTTGAAAGCATTTGTAGACTTTAAACACAGAACTGCTTAGTGTAGGGAGAGGTGAAGGGAGGGGGATGCCACCAAGAGGTGTGGGAATAGGTGGCACGTGCAAGGCTTCTGTTGGCACAAGGTGAGAACTCTGGGCCAGTGCTGGGACCTCAGGCTTGGAGGGAGAGGAAGGCCCCAGCAGGCCCTCCTGCAGTTTCTGAATTTGCACACCCACAGAGAGAAAGTGAGGGAAACACCTACTCTGCCTGGCCTTGGGATAAGAACTTTTAAATACTTTATGTCATTTTAATCATAATCTTGTGATAGTACTATATCTCCATTCTACAGATGAGAAAATGGAGATATAATCAGATGAAAAGAGTTGCCTAAGGTGGATAATAACTAATGGATCCAGAATTCAAATCTAGGTCAGACTCTAGACTATGCTCTTTGTTAAACTCTTGGTGTTCTTTCAAATTGCACTATATCAGAAAGGACAAAGGGCACCATTATTCTCCCAACTGCCTAAACACCTGCTTCTCCCTTCCTGTATATCACCTGCTCTGGGCTTCTTCACCTGGTGGAGTGGTGTACACTCCTTCCCTGGTTTATTAATTCATTCACTCTTTTATTCAGCATTCATTCCATCAAGTGCTCTGTTACTCCCCAGAGAAGCCATGTCTCTTGATTGATAGTTCTATAGCCAATACCTTGTATGCTCTGACAGAAATGTTTGCTGACTCCTTTGTGAGTAAATAAGTCCAACAAACATTTACTGAGGCACTCCATGGGCTCCATAATGGGGATTCAAAGATGAGAAAAACAGAAGTTTTTTTTTTAAGATTTATTATTATGTATTTATGCATATAAGAACCGAGGTGTAGGCCAGAGGTGCAGGGGGTGAGAGGATTCACCAGAGGCAGAGTGGGGAGTACAGGCAGATCTACTTAAATACACTGCTGAGGGGAGCAATGGGAGAGACAGGAGAGACCTGCCAGCCACGTGGGCCACCTCTCTGGCTGGGGATCAAGCTCAGGCCACAGTGGTGATAGCACTGAGACTTAATACCTAGGCCACCAGGGAGGCCCCCAAAACAGAAGTTATGCCTTTACAATGCCTGCAGCCTGTGGAGGAGACAGTGATAACACAGAAAAGACATGCTAGACAGGAGCAGAGGTTGTTGGGGGAACTGAGAGGTGCATTTCAATCTACCATGAGTGCTTTATTCTCCACTGTGTTCTCAGCCCAGTACAATGGCAGGTACAGGGTAGAAGCTCAATAAGGCATTGCAGAACATGTGTTTAGGACAGTCTTGAAGGCGGTGTTAGGACTTCACCAGGAGAAAAAAACTGGGGAGGGAAGATAGTGTAACAGAAGAAGATGCTCATGGAAAGGCCTAGAAGAGGGGGGGAGTTGGAATTTCTCGGGGCTCAGTGTGGCTGAAGTGTGAGGTATAGAAGGAGGAATGGTAAGGACTGAGGCTACTCAAGACTTGGGTCATGAATCCTCATCTGCCTTATTAAGGCTTTTATACCCAAATCCAAGGGCATTGGGTAACCAGGCATTTAGCAAAGGAAGGAGACCATCTGATTTCTAGTGCAGAAGTGTAGCCAGTGTGGGATGGAGAGGATGATGTCAAAATCTCCAGCTTAATGGATTCCCACGTGTCTGAGGATATGAGACTTTCTTTTTAGGACTTGGATTAGGGCTTTCTTCTTAGGTCTTTATATTTCATGAGGGGTCTCCTGACTTGTCCATATCTGGTTCTTTGTCCTCTCTGTGCTTTGTGCTACAACTAAGCTATTCTTGCTAATAAAATTACTGAAAATTGCAAATGATTTACATATGTGTAATCTGGAGCAAACTCAAAACTATACTCTTTGCTAATTTATAACACCTTGTTCTTTCTTATATAAAAGAGAGAGAGAGGTGGATTTTTAGATGGGGGCGCTAGGAATTATACTGAATTCTGCCTGTGTTGGATATGTCTGAAACTGGGATACAAGGTTGTGGGAAGAAGCTTTAGACACATAGTGGGCACACAATGACCTTAGGAAGCAGTGCCCCTACTTTATTTTATTTTATTTTTTAAAAAGATTTATTTATGCATACATGAACATGATAAGGGAATCTGTTTTCAGATCCTCAAAAATTCAGGTACTTGTTCCTAAGAGTAGCCTGCTTGTCTGGGTTTTTTTTAAGTTCTCCTTTTCTGCTTTGCTTTTATTGTTCCCCTACTTTGGCTTTATTACCTCCATCCTGAATCTTTCTATGGTACACAGCTTGGGGATATAGACACCAATGGACTGTAGGAGAATGCTTTGTTCCTGAAAGAGCAGAGAAATTAGGTAGATTAGGTAGAATAAACTCGCAGGCAGTGCCTTACCACAGACTCAAGTAATGGACCCCAATTACCATTGACCCCCTGCCTAGGTTGTGGGAAGAAGCTTTAGACACATAGTGGGCACACAATGACCTAGGAAGCAGCGCCCCTATTTTATTTTATTTTATTTTATTTATTTATTTTAAAAAAGATTTATTTATTTATTTATTTTATTTATACATGCACTGGGTACAGTCAGAAGCGCGGGAGGGTGAGAGAATTCACCAGGGCCAGAGTGGGGAGCAGAGCAGGCAGAGGGACCGAGGTACACTGCTGAGGGGAGCAGCGGGCAGCAGGAGGGGTCTGCGCGCTATGTGGGACCCTCCTCCAATGGCCTGGGAGCGGGGAGCAGCCGGGGATCGAACTGGCGTTGCAGAGGCCGCGGGGCGCTTCTCAACCCAGCACTCAACCGCTGCGCCACCGGAGAGGCCCCTATTTTATTTTATTTTTTAAAAAGATTTATTTATGCATACAAGAGCTGGGGTACAGGCCAGAGGTGTTGGGGGTGTGTGTGAGAGGATTCACAAGAGACAGAGCAGGAAACAGCATAGGCAGATCAACCAAAGTACACTGCTGAGGGGAGCAGCGGGTGAGACAGGAGAGGTCTGCTGTGCTATGTGGGTAGCTCCCTGGCCGCCTGGGGATTGAACTCATACTGCAGAAGCTGCGGACAGCTTCACAGGCTGCGTCTTAACTCCTTGTGCCACCAGGGAGGCCAGAGCCCCTACTTTAGTTGCCCTCCCAGTTGAGGGCAAGCACCCTTGGCTTGGGGAGGAAGGAAAGCTTTGGAAAAGGAGATTTGTGAAAGCATTTTTTGTTTTTAATTTTTTTAAGGCCTATTTATACCAAGTATATCCTCAGAGATGTAGCACAAAGAAAACAACCATAGCCACAAACCCATAATATTGAAAAGCTAGTTTTTAATTTCTGTAGCTAAAAAAGCACTCTTTCAGGCTATAACCACAGAAAGATTGCTGCAGGCCCCTGGAACTGGGCGTAATGATGGTTTGCAGTGTAATGAAGGAGGCTGTTAATGTCTATGGCCCAGAAGCCTCATCTGTGGCCTCTCCAATTCCCAGGTTGCCTAGCAACACAACCAAGCGCCTCCCCATCAGGCCCAGCAGGCCATCAATTGGGTATACCCAGCACAGCCTGCCGCCCAGGCTCCTGGGCTCCCCGGCCACATCAAGGCTGGACTCAGCCTCAGCAGGGCCCTGCCTCCTGCCTGGTACCGATGAATGGGTGGGGCCAGCTGTTTGAAAAAGCAGTTCAAATATTTGAAATCTGCTTGTTTGAATGCAGCAAGGAAAGCAGCACAAGCTAATGATCAAAAGTTTCTTCTGCCAAAGAGGAGTTGTCCTAAGGTGGGTGACATTGCCAGTGCTCTCCCAGGTGAGGCGAAGTAGAGGAGGTATGCCTGACTAAGTCCTTTGGATTCTCAAGAGGCAAATCCTTTTCCTTTCCTGGATGTCTTTTTCCATCTTGACCCCCTGTGGCTGCAGTGGGAGTGGTGGGGATTCCCAGACTCATCCTACAAGCTGGTGACCTGCCAATTCTCAGCTCCCATTTGGGAACCCCCAAGGGCTAGTCTAGGTCTGTTTGGGAATCTGGAGGAAGGAGAGAGCCATAAGAGTGGAGGGAATGATGGGATGAAAATAATCAAAATAAAGATGTATACCTTAATACTTGGCACATAGAAATCACAGGGCAGAGGAGCCCGTGGGGTCTCTGGAGTTCAATGCCTTGGACTCTTCTTCCAGCCCGCCCCTCTCTCGCTGTATGGCTTTGAGCAAGTTACTTTGGAAGCCCGAGTTTCCTTACCTGTAAAATGGGGATGTTATTATCCTAACTTATAGGGTTGTGATGAAAATGAATAAGAAAGCTCATAAAGTATTTAGCGTACAACCTGGCACATAGTAACTCTTCCCTATTATGACAACTTTGATTATTTCATTTGATTCTTGCAGTGATTCTCGAAGGAGAGATGAGTTCTGTTTATAGCTGTGTTCTCACTGGCCCAGGGAAATGAAGTGTGGATGATGCTGGGGTAGAAGCTGGGTCTTCCCTGAGTGGAGCACAAGGGATGGTGTTTCTCAAAGGCAGGCACTAAGCCCTTTTTGTAGCTGTTATGGTGTGGTGGGTCCACAGGTCCCCTGTGAGAGGAGACAATGATGTGTGTGTGTGTGTGTGTGTGTGTGTAGAGGAAAAGGGTGTTGGGAGGTGCTTCTCAACATATACAAGACTAAGTGAGACAAGACTTCCCTTCCTTCCTTCCGTTCATCGCTCCGCCCTTCCTTCCAGTCATCTTCTAAATAAACTCTTCTGGAATAATTTTAGATTTGCAGGAAAGTTACAATTTCTGTTTACCCATACTCAGAAATAAATATTTTCAGGACACCTCCTTTGTGCCAGGAGCCCTCTGGACAGGAGGTAGTCAGCAATGAAACCTCCGCCTTCCCCTGGAAGTACGTACAGGGGATGGAGTGGGCCTCAGTTTGTGGTTCTCAGAGCTGCCATTGCCTCCCCTTAACTGGTGTGCTTGTCAGAGATCTATCAGATCTATTACATTAATGTCTTCAGGAGTGGGACTGAGGAATCTATAGGAAAACAGATGCTGAATGACAAATGTCTGAGGGGATTCTAAGGGATAGCCACTTTGGGGAACTACTTTTCACTGTGCAGGAGAGAAAACCTTGTTTCAGAGCCAGGAAGGGACTTGTTCCTGATTATTCAGCCAGGAAGTGGAAGCATCTAGAGGAGAAAGCAGATCTTGTGGCTCTGTGCTTTCCTTACATGGCGTCTCTCAACCACAGAACAAGACATGAGTTTAACGTGCAACAGGAAGGCCCCTGTTATTACTATTTTTTAAATTATGTTTTTTAAAAATTGAGATAGCATAACTGTATATGATTAATTGGAGGTTAGTTCTTGTTGCCCCAGAGAGAGTCTAGAAAGGCTTCTTGGCTATTCAGCTCTACTAGTTAGGTTCTCGGTTTCCAGGGACAAAAACTGATTGTGATTAAATCACTAAATACATTTTATTGAACGTGCATGGGGTAGTTAAAGAAGAACTACTTCTTGACTCCAGTTCGCCGCTCTGACACAATGTGTGGGTTTTCTGCACCAAGCAATGTTGTCACTAATTACCCCACAATGGTTAAGGACTCAGTCCCACAAGGGCGCCCCACTTTACTGATATCCTCCGGACTTCAGATGTCAATTGCAAGTCTGTGCTTTTAGTACTTCTGACTGACCAGCTCTAAATTGGGACTTCCCATCACCCTCCCCTGGGGTTCAAGCATTTGTAACATTGATTCACAGAGCTCATGAAGTGATATTACTGGTTTGTTATAAAAGCTCTCACTCAGGAGCAGCCAGATGGAAGAGATGAGTAGGGCAGGGGATAGGGGAAGTGCCATGGAGTTTCCACAGCCCGTATTGTCACACCACCCTCCCCACACTTTGATGTGTTCACAGACCAGAGGATCTTGGAAGCTTTGTTTACGGTTTTTGTGGAGGCACCGATGTGTATGCATGGTTGATGGGATTATTGAACATTGGTAATTATGTTCAGCCTCTAGGCCTTCTCTCCTTCCCAGCCCTTGGACTGAAATTCTAATCACATGGTTGATTTCTCTAATCAAACAGTTGATTCCTCAGGCAACAGCCCTCCCCCTACTCCCATCCTGCAAGAGTTCCCTTTAATTCAGGTGTGGTTGAAAGGCCTAATGTGCATAATAAAAGACGTTCCTCTCCTCCATCACTCAGGAAAGTATAACGGATATAAGACTCCTGCTGGGAACTCCAGATAAATACCAAATAAATATTTCTTAGTATATCATGATATCACTGGTAGATTACAGGATCATTGGAAAGCTGCAAAAACAGGAAGATTTTAACTTTATTGTAATTACTTTTTTTCCCCCATCCCTTATTTGGATCCAGAACAGGCAACTATAAACCAGAGACATTCTGCAGCGGGGGGAGAAGGGAGTAGTATCAAAACAAGTGTGGGAAGAGCACAAGGGACCATGGTGATGGTTCACGGATGAATGGATAGTGGGAATTTCACAGGGACTGCAACCAAGATGAAAATGAATACATTGTACAAAAATGAAAACAATTAAAAAAAAAAAACAAAAAAAGAAGGAAGAGCAGGCACATAGAACTTCATCAAAATCATTGCACAGCTGGGTAGGTAAGGCGAGACCCTTTGCTGCTGTGCTGTTATTGCTGAAGCCTGGCTCAACATTGCTGGCATTGAATGCTGGATGCTGCACTGACCCCTGTGGCAAGGCTGGACACTGGGTGTAGGGTAAGGAAAAATGTCAGGCTTTTCAGCCCTCCTGCCATCAGGATAGATGATGGATCCTTGTGGTCCTGAATGCATGCCTGATAGTGGGCACCTGGAATAGGGTGTAGGCATAGGTAGATGGGATTCACCTGGGCTAAGACTGTGCTTTTTAAGGGCAGCGTCACAGGGACGCCATTAGAAGCTGAAAGAGAAGCCAAGAAAGAAACAGCAGAAGATGAGAGAGAGAGAACGCCAGAGAGAGCCCAGATTGAGTGAAGACTTGCTGGGAGCTGGGAGGCCTGCCAGCCTCCCGGCCCCCCAGTACCCCTGCCTGCTGTGTACCTGGTAAATCATAATAAAAGACCTGCAAAAACCACCAAGGACTCTGACTCCTCCTTTACCCGGTCTGCTGGATCATAGAAAACCTGCACTGTGTCCAGTCCTGCCCCTACGCTGGGTAATGCTGTTTAAAGTTCACTGTTATGAAGAATATTCCCTATCCTCAGCTCTAAGTTAAACCATCACAGATAAGGATTCTGTAACCTCTCTGTCTTAATTTGACAATTTAATTTGACAAGGCTCAGTCTGGAACACTTGCTGACCAAAATAATTTATGAACTATTCCTGCAATTATTCAAAAGAAAATAATAAAATATATCAGATGGAAAAAAAAAATCCTAAGCAACTTCAGCTGATTGGTCAAGTCAAGGCTATGTACCTGAACCCTACATGCCTTAGGGACCTGGAAACTATTGGGCATTTTTAACTCTATAGTGGAAAGGAACCCATATTGTCCACCAAGATTCGTGAGATAAGAAGTATCCCAAGAAAACTGACAAATGCCCAGTACAGAAATGTTATGAAAAGAATACACTGGGAGTTCTTGACATTTGCAGATTCAGCACTTATACTGCATTAGCTACCCTCAGAAACCCTTTGTAAATGGATGTGAGTTGGGCTTTGCCTGAGCCAGTCATTAACTGGTTAATGGACCAGGCCTGCTGTTGCATCCTGAAGTCTCACCTCATTTTATTCTCTACTATCCATAGTTGTCACTGTTAAGTAAGCTACAAGCTGCATGCCATCACTAAAATCTTTGTTTCTTGCTGGAGTGGAAAAGACTCAAAAATAAATCACTTGATATTGCCAGTGACAAAAATGAAAAGAAAGAGAAGATGCCTCATGAAAGTGATTTTTTCCCTGAGAAATTTAAGTTCAAGTGCCTGGGGCCTCTGATTTCAAGAGATTCTCCTTGTGTGTCACACAACCACATGGAAAAGTTCTAGTATGTGCTTCCATGAGTGCAGAAACTGCTCCCTGAGAAGAGCTGAAACTTTACTAAAGGATGAACTAACCAACTTTTCTTTTTCCTTTCTTCTTTGGGACCTGGGTGCAAAATATTTAACATTGTTAATACTACTCTCACAACATATTTTACAAATAACTCTATTTCTGTATCTAGTCTGAAATGGAATCATTTAGCATTTTCAGTGTATAATTTATTTTTGGGAGCTACTCTGTGGCATGTAATGAATTAAAGCACCTGAAAAGTCTTTGCAAAAAAAATCTTTGACCAATATTGGGGTCTGACCAATATTGGGTAAATTTCCTTATAGAACTTTCTTTTTCTACAGATTTTTTAAAAGAGTTCTTATTTATTTATACAAGAACCAGGGTACAGGCCAGATGTGCAGGAGGGTGAGAGGATTCACCAGAGACAGCGGGGAACAGAACAGGCAGACTGACGAAATACACTGCTGAGGGGAGCAGTGGGCGAGACAGGAGAGGTCTGCCTGGCCATGTGGGATTCTCGCCGGCTGGCCAGGATCGAACCCATGCTGCAGAGGCTGTGGACAGCTTCACAGTGCAGCGCTCAACCGCCTGCACCACCAGGGAGGCCCCCAGATTTTTTTTTTAAAAGCAGACCACTGTTCTGGGTAAATGAGCCCAAACCTGCCCTTTCCAATCCTTGGCCAACACACTGGCTCCGTGATTCATAAAACACCTAGGTAAGTCCAGGGAATAGGGAAGTTTTTTCCACTTTTCCTTTTAAAGAATACTTGTACCCATGAAGGGGAGATCTTCGGTTCTTGGTGTGCAGGGAACATCTCTGTCTAGCCATTGCACTTCAGTTGTTTCCTACCTGTAGGATGAGGACATGTCTCTGCAGTGCCACCAAGATTTCATCTGTGCATATGTGTGTACAATTTCAGCAAAGTTTTTGCAGCAACATGCTGTAGACAACAGGTAGGGAGGGAAGCATAATATCAAACCAACCTTAAAGAATGCTCAAGAAACCTGCATGACCTTTGTTTAGTGAGTAAGAAAGCACAGTCAGTGTAATAAATAATTCCACCCGATGAATAACACAGATGAGAGTGACAGAGTAAATAATTGGATAGCTGTGTATGCTTTCATAACCCTGTGAGACTATAATGTATTTGTGATCTTTGCTGGCTTGTTTTGAGACACTTGCTCTATTCAGTTGAGCCTCCTAAAATTCTGGTAATTCAAAGTGTACTTCTTGATATTCTGTCCCAACTGTGTGTGACCTTCAGAATCCTTGGAGTATATAGGCCACAACCACACAAGGACAAAATTGATGACAACTTGGCCTTAGATTAGACTTGTTCTGTTACGCCCTGGGTAGGGACCCCTTTGATCAAGGAGCAGAAATGCTGGTGAACAGATTTCAGTGCATTCTAGGGAAGAGCTGCTGAAAGACTATCAACAAAAATGCAGCAAGTATTGGAGTATATTTAGGTTCTTTGTAATATTCACTTCTATAAATGGTTCTGCACCAAACATCTTTGAATGGTAGCTTTTTGTACTTGTTCACTTGCATTTATAGGGTAGATCTCTATGAGTAGGATGGTTCTATTGAAAGGTCTTTCTTTTCCTATCTTGTAGATACTGCTCAATTACCTTCCAAAAAGTCTCAACCCACATATATCTCATAAACAACATCCATTTCCACACAACCTTATAAATGAGCATCATTCTTTTTCATTGTTGCCAATCTGATCAGGATAACAAAGGTGGTGAATTGTGCCCATAAATTCGGGTGTGGGAGCAGAAGATAAATAGGAGTGGGAGGCACTGGGGATGTCAGACTGGAAGCAGCACCTGTGAACATCAAGCACCAGATGTTGGAGATAAAATGAATCTGAGAGAGGCCCTGCCCTCAGGGATTGGCACCCAAACAGGTGTGAGGTCAGTGTGCTGGTGACCAACTGAAGAGAGAGGTGAAATCAACATGCTGTCACTAGCCAGTGTGCTTATCTGTTGTGAGAATCTCAAGTAGTTGAACTACATGTGATCCCTTTACTGTACACACCAGGGAGGGAAGCAGACACACCATGAATATGATTTGACCAAATGGATCAGATATCTTTTGCAACAGTGGAAATACATTTCACTAAAATACCTAATATGGGAGGCCGGAAGTTGTAAAATTTCTGGGAATTTTTAAAAAAAGATTTATTTATTTATGCATACAAGAACTGGGATACAGGCCAGAGGTGTGGGGGTGGGGGTTGAGAGGATTCACCAGAGACAGAGTGGGGAACAGAACAGGCGGAACGACTGAAGTACACTGCTGAGGGGAGCAGCAGGCAAGACAGGAGAGGTCTGCTGCACCATGTGGGTAGCTCGCTGGCCAGGGATCGAACTCATGATGCAGTGGCTGCAGACAGCTTCGCAGTTTGCGTCTTAACTCTTTGTACCACCAGGGAGGCCCAAATTTCTGGAAATTTTGAAATCTGGAGAAAAGAGAAAAATTTGAGGGCAGTATAATCCTCATCTTTCTAGTTCCGTTTATAGGTTTAAAGTTGTATTTTTAAAAATGTGGAATTTTATTTCCTCATGAGATGATCAGGTATGATATTTAAATTTGCAGCAGACCTTAGTAATATAGTGTTGGCCATTCTTTTTTTTTATGATTTATTTATTTATTTATGCAAAGAACTGGAATGTAGGTGAGAGGTGCAGGGGGAGGGGAGTTGAGAGGATTCACCAGAGACAGAGTGGGGAGTAGAATGGGCAGATCTACTGAAATACACTGCTGAGGGCAGCAGCAGGCGAGACAGGAGAGGTCTGCTGCGCCATGTGGTCTGCTCCCTGGCCGGGCATTGAACTTGTGCTGCGGTGACTGTGGATAGCTTCATAGTGCTGTGTCTTAACCCCTTGTACCACCAGGGAGGCCCCTGAAACAACATTTTAAATTTTTTTTAAAAAAAGATTTATTTATTTATACAGGAACTGGGGTACAGATCAGAGGAGTGGGAGGGTGAGAGAATTCACCAGAGACAGAGTGGGGAGCAGAACAGGCAGACGGACCCAAAACACTGCTGAGGTAAGCAGTGGGCGAGGCAGGAGAGGTCTGCCGCACCATGTGGCAATCTCCCAGGCTGGCCGGGAATCAAATTGGCACTGCAGAGACTGTGGACCTCTTCACAGTGCTGCGCTCAACCCACTGCGCCACTGGAGAGGCCCTGAACAACATTTTAAATGTGCTTAATACCATCAAATTTTCCACTTAAAATCTTTAGAATGGTGAATTTTACATTATGTGTTTTACCATAATTAAAAATATATATAATTTGAGGCTTAGAGAATTTAAGTGATTTATCTAAGATTACTGTACAGCTGATAGGTGGTAGAGTGGTGTTTTAATCCCAGTCATCTGATTCCACTGCTCAAGCTTTTGAAAAACTATTGTGAAATGCTTTATTTTGAATCATTTAGAAAATTTATTTATTTTTTGTGCTAAAAATATTATATTTAGGATTAGCAGCTGGTCTCACTTTAGATGATTCCTAATTTTGTTGGCAACACCCAAAGCATCATAGTCAGAACCAGTGGAAAATAATATACCTTCTTTTCTCCCTCAGATCTGATCAGGATGTTGGCCTTGGCCACCTCAAGGTCATAGAGCTTCATAGCCTGTGCGATCTGGTGCTTACTGGCCTTGGCATCCACAAGGAACACAAGAGTGTTGTTGTCTTCTGTTTTCTTCACACAGACTTGGTGCTCATGGGAACTTGACGATGGCATAGTGGTCAAGCTTGCTTTCCCTGGAGGTGCTCTTCCAAGGATATTGGGGTGTCTTTGGAATCACAGTGTCTTAGGTTAAGAAATATCTTATGCTAATAGTTGAAAGTCAGTGACAGAGGAAAAGGAAGGTGTATCCTAGCTAGTGTTGCCTTCCTAAGACTCCAGTCCTTTCCCTTGGGTGGTAGCAATAGAGGAAACTAGAATCGACCCCTGGGAGTCCTCTCTGGTTATGCACTGGAGGTGAGGGTATGGATCATGTGAGTATTTTGACACTAAATCATCAGCTGCCTTCTATGAATGCACAGTAAAGGTCTTGGAAATCAATGGTTATGCTAGAGAGTCCAGGGAAGGGCCATGGCTAGAAGACTATAGGGTTGCTGTTTCCCCCTGACATTTATGCCTCTTTCAGGTGGAGCCTGGGAGGGAGGACCCAGGACAATGGCTGCTACTCATTATTTGGAGATGGAGGAGATGAGTTTGAATGCACATGCGAAAGAAGGACTTGAAGAAGAAGAGAAAATGAGAGAGGATAAGGAAGCTAAGGATTCTTTTAAGAGTAAAAAGGTTCACAGGATTGTTTCAAAATGGATGCTGCCTGAAACTGCGCGGACAAGGTACTTGGAGAGAGCAAACTGCTTCCCGCCCCCTCTCTTCATCATCTCCATCAGCATCGCCGAGGTAAATATGCTGGGTAGTGGGCACTGATGAGGCAAACTGGGGGTTTAGATCAGATCTAGATAAGAGACTGGGAGACAGCACATCCCCTCCACCTAACCTTTCCCAGAGCTCCTTCCTAGGCTTCTCCTCGCTGCCAGTCACTTTCAGTGAAGAGTTGGGTTTCATTTTACAAACAAACCCTCTGCCCAGCAGTGATTGTAATTTTAGTGGCTCCATTTTATGTTAGCTGGTGTGAGCTTTGGAAGCTCAAATAATGTTGGGACTGTAAATATATTTGATCTCATGAATCAACTTGGATAGCTCAGGTCTGTCTGGAACCATATGTTTATTTTTTATTTATTTTTAATTTTTAAATAAGATTTATTTATTTATGCATACAAGAACTGGGGTATAGGCCAGAGGTGTGTGGGGTGAGAGGATTCATCAGAGACAGAGTAGGGAGCAGAACAGGCGGATCTACTGAAATACACTGCTGAGGGGAGCAGCGGACGAGTCAGGAGAGGTCTGCTGCGCCATGTGGGTTGCTCCCTGGCTGGCTGGGCATCGAACTCATGCTTCAGAGGTTATGGATAGCTTCACAGTGCTGTGCTTGACCCCTTGCGCCACCAGGGGGGCCCCCAACCATACGTTTAGATGAATTATGGCTGCCTCCAAATTTCAGTAGAAAAACATGGGATCCTGTGATGATGTCTAGTACAGTCAACATGCAGTGTTTTGTTTTGTTTTACTCTGATCTAGTCAGCTTTCTTGCTTTTCAGAAAAGGGTGCAAGATCCAGAGAGATTGGAAGGACCTGGCTGGGCCAGGTCCGAGCTTCTCATGAACTTCATCATACCTAGCTTTTCTACCACAGCATGAAGTGTCAGAAAGGAACCAGCAGAGAATGACCACCTGTGGTTTGTGACTTCAGGGACATTAAGACGTCCCTAGAGTAGTCCTCTTAATTCAACTTCTTTGTCAAGAACTCTATTAGGGTTCTTTAGACAAACAGAACCAGGACACACACACACACACACACACACACACATTATTATCTGCTTCTATGTATCTACCTATCTATCCATCCATCCATCCACCCACCCACATATATTTTCAGAAAGAGACTGATTTAAGAAATTGTTTTATTGATTGTGGAGGCTTGGCAAGTTCACCATCTACAGGGCAGGCCAGTGGATTGGAGAACTAGTGGGTAAGAGCTTCAACTGGCTCTGAAATCAATGGCTGCAAGGATTCCCTTTTCTTCAGAGGAGGTCAGCCTTTGTTCTATCAAGGCCTCAACTGATTGGGATAACGTTGGCCCACAAATGGAGGGTAATCTGCTTTACTCAAAGTCTACTGATTTAAACTCTAATCTCATTTAAAAAACACCTTCACAGAAACTTCTAGGATAGTGTCTGACTAAATCCCTGGATACCACAGTATAGCCAAGCTGACATGAAAAGTTAATTATCACAGGAACATAGCTTCTTATGGCTCAGATAAAGATAAGACTAATATGTGAACATTCCCAGGAAAAGCTTTTGTTAAGCCTGTTTTGATCGGAGGGACTTAGCTCTGATTTTTTAAAAAAATATTTATTTATTCATACAAGAACTGGGGTACAGGCCAGATGTGCAGGAGGGTGATATGGTTCACCAGAGACAGAGTGGGGAAGAGAACAGGCAGACTGATGAAATACACTGCTGAGGGGAACAGCTGGTGAGACAGGAGAGGTCTGCTGCACCATGTGGGAATCTCCCTGGCTGGCCTGCCCATGGTCCTGTGGCTTGGCTGGCCTGCCCATGGTCCAGTCAACTGTGTGTGTGTGGTGATGTGCTGATGGTGGGGTTGGAGAGAATGGGATGTGGTACAGGGCACAAACATGGCTGCCATAGTCAGTGCGGTGGAGAGGGCAGTTTTACAAAGAAAGGCAATGGGGCAGGTGTTGTGATATTTGCCTCTCACAGAAAGATCAGTTCTTTTATTTTAAAATTTAAAAATAAACCATATGTTGGAATAATTTTAATTTTATAAAAGGGCTACAAATACAGCCCAGGGAGTTCCTGTATATTCTTCACCCAACTTCTCCCTTGATTAGTGTCTTATATTGCTATGGTGCACTTGTCAAAATGAAACAGTTCACACTGGTGTGTGATTATTAACTAAACTCCTGACTTAATTTTGGATTTTACTAGTTTTTCCATTTATGTCCTCTTTCTGTCCCTTCAGTGCCCTGAAACCTGGCTGTCACATTGCACTTACTTGTCATGTGTCCCCAGTCCCTCTCATCTGTGACACTTTCTCAGTCTTTGTTTTTT